TAAAGGAACGGGTAGAAGTCGCTCTTCGTCAGTTGAAGAGTTCTTGACCATCCTAAATGTTGAGGGCCGCGATACTCCGCTCGGCAGCAACGTGGAAGCTTGCCGCCACTACTCCGCTGCTGGCATTCCCGATGATGCACAACGAAGTAGAGATGAACTTCGACGGTCATTCATCGAGATTACTTGTCGACAGTGGGAGCGATATTTCGTATCTAATATATTGTGGGTGGTATGAGTCGATCCTGCGAGAATCTCATCACTGGTTGCTATTTCTGCCCCGAGACCGATCCATGTGATCTCGACAACTTGCTGAGAGACAAAGTACACACGATGAACTTCATTCGTCATTCGAGAGGTGACGCTGGAGGTCGGCCAGAGAAAGATAGGGTTGAAAGTGGGCCTCATGGTTGGGCAGATAACCAGGAATCGCGGCTATCAACCACAAGCTCTTCTCGAACTGTCCTATCCTGGTTCCATAGCGTCCGTTGGGCTCAAGCTGCCCTCTTTCCTTGAGCAACTCGCGCACGCTGGAGTAATTCGCCACAATTTTCTCTCGGTACGTGTTTCGAAGCTGTCTATTCAATAGACTCTATTGGTATAGCTGGTCAGTTGGTCCTCGGTGATGATGCAGACAAGGACAAAAACGCGGTTTCCTTTTCCCTCAGAAGAATCTCGTGGGCTCCCGTCCGCTTTCGCGATAGCTACCACGGCAGTCCGGGTGGGAAGTCCTTCTGCCAAGGATCAAGTTAATTGAGTTTTCGAACATGCAGGAGCAGCATAGAGCGGCCATTGATACCGGCAGTGTCAGTACCATCGTTCCCAAAGGATGTTTTCGAGGTGATACTGAGAGCTATCGAGGCCGAATCCGACGAATTGCAGGCTCGTCAACCATCCAATTCCAGTCGAGGATCGGGCCCCTTACTCGGTGACGAGGGGCATGTCTGGGTTCGCAGGGAGTGTCGTCGAACATCTGCCTGTAATGACTATCCAAGCTGGAGCGGACTCATCGTTTAAGGTACATCTTAAGAGTCATGTACCAGTATGCGAGGGAGAGTGGTGTGCGGTCTTTATAAGAGACCGACTTTCGCCATTGAGCTCTCGTGATGTGTTCATACTTGGTCAGCCATTTTTCATGGAGCATGATGTTCACATTGATTTCGACCGCGAGAGTATCGATCTCGTACCTCCTACGAGGCCCATAATGGACGGAATAGCATCTCTCGACTCGTGGCATGGAATCCGACACCCTCCAATCGAATCTCAATTGGATCAGAGCCCATCTTGAGTATTCTCGCTTGTCTCGAGTCTTCTTGAGGTTCAGACCTGGCATCCGCTGCATGGCTTTCCCATGTTCGCTACCCTCCAGTTTAATCAAGTTGACAGGCGTCCATGTTGCTGTTGTGATTCTCTTCGTTTCGATGTGGACAGCCCAGTATAACAAGTGGGTGACAGCCCTGCGGCTCACAGTGAGGTCCCCGCTCCCGAGATCTGGCCTGTCCGGCTGTGAGATTTGGGGATTTGTTTGGTAGTTTCGTTTGGAGAACATTTTTGAGCCTCAATGATTTCCGCTCACTCTGTTCTTTTTGGACGGTTCTGGGCGTTGAATCGATCCTCGGGCTTCAGACTGCCAGCAAATCTGAGGTAGCCGCAGTTCTCACTTGGATACTGATAGCGTATGGTCGCTCGCCCAGTCCTTTCATGTGTGACTCTGATTTGTATGCATCTGTCCCTACTATGCTATATTCTAGTGATTCAAAGTGAGTACTTCAGTGTCTACTTTCTGTATGGACTATTAGAGTTTTATCTCTCGGTTTTTACTCCAAGATGTATTCTGGCTACGATATTGATGATGTTGAGTTGGACTATGGTGGTGAAAGTTCGGTTGGAGATAATATGGAGGCCATCAGTGCGGCTTATGAGGACATTGACGATGGCCATGTATCGGTAGACTCTAACATTGACCTGGGCGACTTTGACTCTCCATCTCACTCTAGAAGCTTTCAATACCTCTTTCGCGTTCCATTTTCATAGGTGGACTTGCTACGCAGACAAGTGACTGAGCTGAGCAAGGAAATGGCTGTTCTTCCTAAGAGACTGGATGATCTACAAAAACAAGTGGCTCATCTGACCAATGTCGTTGGCGAGGGGTCTAAGGAGAGTCCTGTGGCCACGGTAAGCCGTTGGTGTCATAGGCTTGCGACTCCTTCACCACAAGCATGAACCCAACGTTCCGGCACATCCATGATCTCACATCATTTGCCTCACCGACCATCCTTCTTTGCAGGTAGAGGGTATCATCACGGCCGACGACAACCAGTGTATCCCTCAAGTTCGGCGATGATCTCCCTGATCGACAAGGGAAGACCATAACTATCGAGTTCAACGGGGGATCTCGTCCAAACCCCATAAGCAGAGTCTGGTCCTGGTCCGCAACACACGTTGTTATGGGAGGCTTCCGGTAAGAACTGTCCGCGACTTTCATGTGAATCATAAAAATAGCGGTATACTGCTAATGGAACCCACTGAGTGGATGCGCCTGTAAAACCCGAAGTGCTTTCGAATTCACTCCTCAGCCCCCCGTCGGCAGTCACTTGCTTTATCGAGAATCGCCGTGCTGCTTCTTCGTTGGAGTTTATCGCTCTGCGGACTTTCCGAGGACCTATGCATTCGTCCATCGACATGTCTTCTCAGTTATGAGGCTGGGTTCACAAAGCTCGTTATTGACTATAAAAAATACGGCAGAATCGAGATTACCGACAACCTACAGGAAGCTTATGAACATTTCTCCAGCGTCGTGCCCTTCGCTTATTTATCCAAGGAAGACTTCCGCCCAGTGTTGGCGAAACTGCATCAGATCTTACCCATTACGAAGAACAATCCCGAAAGATGCAGAAAGGTTTTCGCGCTCTTGGCCAATAATCCTCCGGGGGGAGAAGACAAGGGAGTTCGCTGGTTCGATGGCTTCCATGTCACGGCAGCCGATCATGTTCGCGAACTCATCAATTCATGGAAGTCGAAGAAGTAGAGAAGCCGTGTGATCAGTGGATGTGTGTTCAGACCTATTCTTGATGTGCTTATATTTATCCGACATGTTTATGTGCTGTTCTTCGTGTTTGCGGCGAGCTTGGGTCACCAGTGTAACAACGGCTATATAGCGCTTGAGGCGAACGAATGTCCGAAACACACCTTGAGTCGCTCAAGTTCAGTGTGGCCCAGTGACACTGGGCCATTGTACATTAGTTACATTCCACCCTTCGCCGTCGGTGGCATGTGGTACCCACCCTTTCGACTCTGTTCCTCAATCAATCACTGTAGTGCTAGAGAGATGGAGTGTTATGCTGGAGCGGGGAGGACCAGATGTGTATAAATGCAGGTGCGCTGGCAAGTAGAAGGATGGCGCACATTTGGTTATGGTCATATGCTTGTCAAGCCCAGAGTGACTAGTTACAGTCATTGCCTGCCACAGTGTGTCCATTATGAACTGAGCGTAGCTCGCTGATTAGACGTCTCTGGAGCCACCGTAGTGCGGCGAGCTAGAAGATACAAGCTCCAGCCTAGCTGACCTGTGAAGTGCTCTCGTCAGTCTCTCACTGTATAGGGTCGTATGACCCTGACGATGAGCTGCTCGGTGCATCTCCGGTGTGACAGCATGGTTGAGCAAGTCAGTGAATAGTGTGACAAGTGGAAGCATCCACGGTAGGTATCATAAATAGGAGAGAGACAGAGAGAGAGAAACGTAGAGACCGATTTTTGAGCTCCGTGAATGCAAGTGCAACACCGCGGCGGTACAGGTTACAGGTGTAATGCAGGCGCATACGAGTCTGTATCGCACCGTGTAATCGAGGGTTCTTGGACCCTGCAGATTGCAGGGCTGCTGAAGCTCGTTAACGTTCTTGGGCCACCAAAACGCGAGAATTCAGCGAAGCTATCAAGTGTACGCAATAGTAAGTATTGCCCGAGTTGATGGCCAAACCAACGAACGGGAATCCCGTTACGGAGCTGACGATATAGATGTGACTTCAGAGAGCTCGGAGAAATGTTCGAGTGAATCACATCTGATTCGAGCATATCAGATATGCTTGGATCATAATGCTCCGATGAGTATTGCGTGTGAATGTAGCTGTTGGTATGTGCGGCCAGGATCAGTGGCACCCGTCGTAGATCACAGAGCGCCGGTTGCCGCCGCCATATCATCAAATATATCAGCAAGCCATTCTGATTATCACGTGTCCGAGAGTTGTTTCCGAAGTCATTCGGGAGTGTTGGACGGAGTGTATGTTCTCTCAGAGGGTCATCAAGGTCCCAAGGGCATCCATTCCAATCCAATGAGAGAATAAATGCCTCCGACGAGGGATGGCTCAGCACTATACCATTTCCCATGCAAGTTCAACTGTTGAACTTCAACGAGCGATCAGGCGATAATGACAGTGCTGCAACCAGCAACCACAATGAGATCTCAGGGATGCCGAATGGGACATTTGGAGCATCCATGGTTGAAAATTGGCATCCAGGTTTGACGCTCAAAGTCAGTAGTCGGATTTGGATGCGATATCAATCCGCAGTGAACAGTTTCTGGAGGATGCGGATAATTGTAGCCACGGGCGTAAACCATCGTCTTCAATGAAGACTCTTCCATGCCTACGTAGAAGTGGCACGAGAGGTAGCTTGCCTCAGGCAAGTGCCTCATTGATATCAGAGAGAGTTCGACATATGAGCTGATAAAGCATCACGAACGGGCCACGACAAGCCTACGGGCTCACGAAGTCGTTTCAGTTCATGCCTCAGAGCACGAAGTTCGTTTCCTAAGGAAACTTTCCTTATGGCACTCAAGCCCACCCTCTCTGAATCACTCTCCAACAGCGCCAAGGTCATCCGTCACCGGATCGCGAGTCGCGATCAGACAGATGGGGATCCAGCGCGATGCCACAGCAAAGTATTCTCGAGTATATGGGGTCATGAACGACCCACATCCCACCCTGCCATCGGCAACTGTGCACGAATAACAGCTCCGAGATTCGAACTCGCGCTCTTACGCTGTAGAGCCCGAAGCTAGCGCCTAGGACCGCTCGGCCAGACTGCTGTTAACGGAATGGCTGAAGAGCCGGTCACGACCTTCTAGATGTGTATTTCTACCCGCATCTCTGGCTTACATGTGAGATTGAGAGTACTTCCAAACAAATTGAGTCCATCGTCCTTTCGTCGCGCACTATACCGGTCTCACTGTGGGACCGGTGAGACCAACACTGATGGTGTTGGGTCTGTGAGACTCTCACAGACCCAAAACCATCAGTGTCCAAAGCGACACGATCGGAAACCAGGTGATCACGCTGACGCATTCACAGCACCAAACTTGATACACTAATAACTATACCACGGGAGCGACTCTGAGTCGTGTCATATCGATAACTTATTGTGTGAAGAGCTAGCGACGGCAAGGCCCCCCTTTGCTCCGAGTATGAGTGCCGTGGTGCTTCAGACCCGCTGCAGAGTCACAGATGAACGTGTAACTTTTACAGCGTGCCCTAGCTGGATGAAGTATCGCCACGATGACATAGTTAGGAGCACTAACTAGGTGCTCACGATTGACATAGCCTGCGGATGCGTCCCGAGCCGCTTCCCCGAGTCATTCCGCGAGAGTCCGCAGCGCTCGTGCTCGCCAGCATCAATCCCTTTTTTCTATCAGGCAGCAAAATTCCGACCCATTCTCTACACCCTTGCCAGCCACATTGTCAATGGTCCATCGGAGTACCGCCATCGTCCAGTATCAACCTCACGAACTCACGATTTTTAATACAACAAACCTTGTTGACTGCAATATCTCTGGCTCTCCAATATTCGACATTTCTAATCAATTCGTTCTACATCACCACCATTCCGGCGCAACACTGCACACACCTGCATTAAATGCCGAATTTAACCGGTCGGGTTGTCAAATTTTGACAACCCGACCGGAAGCGCCCAGCCATTCGCTTACGCTATCCTCGCAACTTCCACCGACTAGAGTATTCGAATCTTTGAGTGATTGCGTTGGCGAACCCCACCACCAAACCCAGATTGACAATGCCGTTTAGGCAATAGTCAACGAAACACTAAAGCGCGAAGAGGACAACAGATCGACCGGGAGAAAGACACTTTTCTACAACCGTATACATCAATCATCCAATGGAGACGCGTCGAGTTTCAAACAAGGGGTCTAGATGAGAGGAGCGGAGCATGTAACGCGGCACGCTGCCAGCTATGATATCAACGAGATTCTCGGCGCGAGAGTATAGAGCTGCTCAATTATGATGGGGATGTTGCGATGTCGGCACCCACCCGGCAAATGCTCAGTCGGGTGATGCCGCTTGGACAACTACAGGACAGAACAACAACCCGAATAACTCACGCTCGTTTGCATTAATTCCTCCGTCGGCCTGACAGGTGCGGCACCCACGGCGAGGTACCGGAATAGAACAGAGAACAGACGACTGGACATCTGTCATCGGGAGCTCAAGCAGTCGGAACCCTCTCGAGGAAAAGAAACGCCGAAAATGGGCTATACCCTTACTCACCTTCAAGCAACAAACCATTACACTCGAATTACCCAGGCTTCTTCTGAATGAAAAGATACATCAACTGGGCCGATGAATTTAAGAATAGCGAGACAAGCCGAAATTGAGCTGGTGGAAACTCTCTGCGACCCCACAATGCCCCTTGTCTTCCTATTGCAGAGCTGTTGCGAATTGGCTGTGATAATGAGCATCAGACAACAGTAACATACATCCATGTGATGAACAACTGCAATGACTCAGAAAGATTAGACGATGGCGAGCGAAATGAACAGCATGCCCTGGGTGAAAGGAACATTCTTGCGTCTGACATTTCGAATCTACGACAAAGACAGAATCACTAACGAGGATGTGGAAGCCTCTCCGAAATGTTCTTCACAAAGCTGGAGTCAACGCACTCGACTTGAAAGACCACCATCCGGAGTGGCGGGTCCAGCACCCACGCTTTGTGTGCTGTCCTCTTCGAGGAACCTGAATAGATGACGCACAGAAGGAGATGTCCTCCGCGCTCCTCCGTCAATCACCGTGATGTTGATGATGACAGGTGAGGCACCCATCCTGATGCCGCATCAGTAAATGAGAGGTGAGGGAGAGAACATTCATTGGGGCAATCGAGCAGCAGCGAGACTCACCTGTTCGAGCTGAGGAGAGCTCCGCCGCGGAGCAAACACACTCAAAACAACCTGAAGCTCCCAAAAAAAGAGGCGGATAAGAAACAATTCAAACTATTAAAGAAGACGATCAACTCTCAAGGGAGCTATCTCGTTGGTTTGAATGAACCGGTTGCACCGGAGCGCGAAGGAGTCAGTACAGAGACGACAAAACGATCATGTCCAACCATCGGACCGGAGGGGAAGTATTATGGCCAATCTCGAGAGCAACGGAACGTTAAGATGATTTACTGGATGTAGTATGATCAGTAAGATTGACCTGAGGGCACAGTCTCAGCCAGAAGATGTTATAGCAAATCTCGGCTCGAGTGCCTGTCGAGTATCTTCGTCAATTCTCCTAGTAGGTGGAGCGGTGTTCAATGGATGGCCGATCTGAACGGTTGGGTCTCTCGGCGTGTCGACTTGTTTGAACATTCATTAGTAGCTCGGACCGATCTTGCTCCATGGTACGGCGAAGCAGACAGAGTGATATACCAGGGTGGGATAGGATTGTAGTGGCGTGTACGTGTGCCTGATTCCTTCGAAGAAGTCCGACCAGCTCGTCACAAGGGATCCGTTCGAAAGCATCCGATTTCCAGAAGACTCAAAAAAACTGAAAAACGGGACCGTAAGGACCATCGAGCTCCCCCCACGCAAATACCAACTCAGTAATTGGTCTACACTTGGTGGCCTACTAGAGTCTAGCTAGCGATGGTTATCGAATAACTCCTCACTATCATACTCCTCAGGCAGCGGCATGCAGTCGATGACAGCAATGACAGGTGAGGCACCCATGGAGGGTACCGAAACACGAAGGAGACGACAGGAGGTGAATATCCATTCATTTGAATGCAGCGAACTTACGTTTAAATCTTCGGACACCTCTCCTTTCTGATATCTACTACGACGGGAAACCAGTAGATGCAAGTCCAGCCAAAACAACATAACGACCAACAGAGTGACCATCATCGTATGCGAGGCGAAGAGAGACGAACCGCCAGGGCTTCCCCGTAGAGTTCAATAGATTTGTTGCAACATCAATAGAGTGTACGAGACTTTCCACTCTCACCCTTGAAGGCATCTAGAGCCGTGTGTAGGTTTGAAGGATACTTCAATTCTATCTTGGCCTGTGACGACTGACAGTTAAAAGAGACCACGTAAATTCATAACGATAGTTAGTGATGCAACTGATGTTGAGTCTGCGGGTTCTGCCAGTGACCGCCTGATTAGACCGGGAGGACAACATAACCGTAATGATGAGTACAACAGCAAGATCTTTCAAGAGACTTGATGAGCATCTCCAACTGCGACGTGTTGATAGAGTTAATATACGATGTCCCAAAAAACCTGATCCGGTTGGGTACGAGAGTGAGAGCTACAAGATCTGTTCGGTGGTCCGAAGGGGTGATGTCACGACAAGGCCAAAAGAGTTAAGTGCCTGACGTAGTGGAAGCGACGAATGGAGTTGCAGAAGTACATCGGGATATCCCTCAGAAGTAATGGACTGACATGCTGATAAAAAGGAACTTTCACGAAGGATCGATTTGTGACGGAAGCTCCGGTACCAACCAGAAACACCATCCGTAGGGGCCATATCAGAAATAGAAAGCGCTGTTTCACATGCGTACGAGAAAATCAAGCGAACCCAAGAATGTAGTTGGACTCTTCAAATAGCCACTCATGGTTAGCACCCCTCTGGAATGGACTGGCTGGGATCCCTAAGGCGCTCAGCAAGGTCGGGACGTAATCACTGAGACAAGGGTGAGATCAAAGTTGAGAAGGGGAACACTCCTGCGGTGAGGATGATCATCAGGTGCAAACAAGGTGAAATCATTTTGTGTGACTCACATGTTATCAATCCATCGCTCGATGCGACCAGGATACTTTGATCAACCTACCGGGACTACAGAAGATAGCCGGAGTGTCAGTGTTGGCCGTATCCCACTGACCATGAGTATTTCTGTACCTGGCAGAGGAAAATAATACTCCAGAGAGACTAGTAGAACTCCGCCAATTCAATCACGCAAACTGACCAGACCCTGACAGGCATACCCTCCATGATCAGCTGTTATGAGTACGAGGGTCTCGTCTTCAATGCCAGCTTGGCCGAGAGCCTCCAGGACCTTGAGCACGTACCCATCAGCGTTCTTCAGCGCGGCGTAGTATCTGAAGAATAAACTCATCAAGCGGAGTAAATGAAGGCGGCCAGTGGTGTAGTTGAAAGTGATGGCTTACTGTGGGGATCCCCAATAGGAGCCGTGTCCGGCGCTATCAACCTGAGAAGGTTGAACGCAAGAATGTTCTATCTCCACCAGTAAGTTGAGCTCGGCGACAGACCTCGTCAAGATGGAGGAAAGCGACATGAGGCGCATCGTCGGTGATCATCAAGTCGAAGAGGAACTTCACCGAACCCTCATCGTGCATCTTGCCTGAATGTGAGGGGCGATGGGAACAGCAACAACACATTCAGGTTACCATCGAACTCGTGGTCAACATCGCTGGCAGACATCAGTTCTGAGAGCGGATAAATTGCAATAACAAGAGAGCTGTCCGCCGACAAGGAGCGACGGGCACTCACGTAACCATGGCCAGGCATAAGCAGATGCCGTTGATATCTCCTTCGAGAAGGACTTAGCCAAGTGGAAGATTGTCGGAGGTAATTCCCCTAACAACCAAGGGCGTACACCATGTCGGAGTCATCCAGCAGCACACCTACCAGCACCGCTCACGGGGGCAACCCGTCCATCGACCAGACTGCCTGGAGTGAGGTCAGCAATGGACCAGCTGTTGCTAAGAATGCCCGTCTCGGCTGGCGGCATACCTGAAGAGGAGGTCAAGGTGCTCGAGGGTGTTCATTGGCCAGAAGGAGGTTCACTAGAGGG